TGTGTATATGATAATTATTTGTGTAGTCTTATTATAACAACTTGTCAATAACATTCATCTCTTCTCATTTTATATTAATCTCTCTCTTTTCTCCCCTTCCACTCCAACATTCTTTCTATCTTTCTCTCAATGAACTTCCGCATTCGCAAAGTGTAATAACACCAACATATGGTATCGCGAGACCGGTTCTGATCCATATTCAATAGTGATTGTAGCTATGGTTGGAATAAGCGGGAACAACTTTCCTGCAAATCTTCCAATTCTTAATGGCAAGAATAAGGGAAAATGGTGCATTCAGATTAGTGTCATATTCAATGTTCAAGATGTGTCTGAGTATGTAGCTGAGAGATTGCAATCGCTAGCCGAAAATACAAATGATGCTCAGAAGGCAACATACAAGAAATCCAAGAAGAAAGATCAGAAGACCCTGTTTTACATTCAACAATGCATTAAAGCAAATTTCAAAACAAGAAAAAGTTTCGAGACATGATAAAGATTCAATACTTCAATTGTGAGAAGTATGGTCACTTTTCTTGGTTTGGAAAGGGAAAGAAAAAGAGTGGTGCAGAGGAAGCTAACATGGTGTAAGATGATTTAGATTTTGATATTGTCATGTTGACGATAACTACCTTTAAAGGGGCTCCGGTCTCTGATGTGTGGTATTTGGACTATGGTTATTCTAACCACATAACTGGATAATATGGGTGGTTGACTGACTTTAACTCAAACAAGAAGACAATTGTCAAATTGGCAGATGGCAGAAGCTTAATGGAAGAAGGCATGGGCAAGATTGTCATACAAAGAAAGGAAGGTAAAACAACATTGATAGAAGATGTGTTATTTGTCCCTGATATGCAATGTAATCTGTTTTGCATTGGTCAGCTGGTAAACAAAGGATTCTCAATAATCATGGAATGAGGCTCACTGAAACTATATGACAAGAAGAAAATAATGGTTCTAAAATCAATTCTGACCAGAAACAGGATCTGGAAGGCTAGTCTGAATGCCTAAGAGTCACACTATCTTTATTCATAAGTTCTTGATGAAGAAAACTAGCTTTGGCATAAAAGGTATGGGCATCTGAATTTTAGAATTCTAGGCAAGATGAATAACATTTGTTGTCTTTGGCAACACTTTTTTAGGTAACGTGTAAAAATTGTTGCCTAAAATTCGTAAAGGCAACAATTTATGGGTGTTGACAAAAATATATATGCAACCCTTAATAATCGTTGTCTAAAATACTTTTGGGGACATTTTTAGAGTGTCACTCTTTTATTTTTTTTTGCAACGATTGTTAAATGTGCCTTTAACTACTTTTGGGGACGATTTTGGAGAGTCATTATACTATTTCTTTAGCAATGTTTGATAATTGTCCCCTTAAATATTTTAGGGGACATTTTTAGACTGTTACATTACTTGTAATAAAAGGCTACATTCATTCAATGTTGCATAAAATTTTAGGAACATCAAATTTTTGGTGGCAATCTTTCCTCCAAATTTATTTAAAAAAATTTAACACTTAATACTAAAAATTATTAAAAAAGTTTAAGAATTATCAAATTTTTGGTGGCAATCTTCCCTCCAATTTTCCTCTAAACATTATTAAAAAAAATTAAATACTAAAAATCATTTAACACTTAATAATACAAAAACTATATACTTATATATACCATTTAAAAAAAAGTTAAACGTACATATCAACCCACTATATTTTCATTATATATATATATATATATATATATATATATATATATATATATATATATATATATATATATATATATATATATATATATATATATATATATATATATATATATATATATATATATATATATATATATATATATATATATATATATATATATATATATATATATATATATATATAAAATTGAAAAAAAAATGAAAAGGAAAGCATGTTTCAGAATAACATATATACACAAAATTGAAAAAAGAAAAAAGAAAAAAAAATTGAAAAGGAAAACGTGAGGTTCTCCCACCTTTCTTCAAACATCTCACCGTCGATATCATCCAAAATCCATCGTCTTCTCCGATCACAACCACCAAACCAGCAACCACCTCGACGAATTTCTCAAATCTTCAACAGTTGAAGATGAAGCCTTTCGTTCTGGCATCTTACCCCTTTCTCGCATCGTAACTGCTCACTGTAATCCCGCTCATCGCACCACCTTCGAGTCCATCGACATCACCGTTCTTTCTTCCAACGACGACGTATTCAATTTCATCTTTTTTATTCTTTATTATATATGCGTTTTAATTTTATAGTTTTCTGATTTATTCTCTCTAAATCGTTCGTGGGAGCGACGTCGTTGTTTTCTCAGTTAAACCTCAATAAGGTATTTCTTTGATTTCAGTGTGGTTTGAGAAAGAAACTTGTAGTTTTATTGACTAGCTTTGTTGTTTTTGTTGTAGAAAAGGACGTTGTGTTGAAATTGAAGACACTTCTGACTAAGGAGAAGCTTTTGGTTCTGTTACTACTAGAATCAAGTTAAAAAGGTCTTTAGGTAATGAAATTCAGTCCTTGTTCACCTTCATTTATGAATCTAGAGTCTAAACCATTAATATCATTATTAGATATGGTGTCGACGTGGTGTTTTTGATTTCCGTATTCTAGAGTTTATACATATTACATATAGTCTATTTGCTGGAAATAATTTATGACATTGTAGAGAATACAATAAGAACATGACAGTTATAGCAAGGGTTGTGTTTGACATAACAGTTAAGTTATGACAGAAAGAAACTGCACTTTTATTAATTGAATGGTCAAGACACGGTACATGTGTTTATAAATGGGTTCAATTTTTATGGTTTTGTTATACTTGAGTCAAGACAGTTAAGTTACACATGTATCCTTACTTTTAGTTAAGTTTCAATTTTTAGTATATACATGTCAATTTACATGTCAATTTTTAGTATTTACTTTTATTTTCATCTTCCACATTTTCTTGACTAGATTCCAGACCTTCATTGCTACCAGATTCCAGGGCAACTTCTTCCATTTCCTTGGCTTCAGTAGTTTCATCAACTTCAGAATATTCACTTCCACTTTTAACTTCTTGAAGGTACACAAAAACCTTACTTTTCTCTTCAATTTGTATGTGCTTGTTGGTTGCATTATTGAATTATGTTGTCATGGAGGTTGGTTTTTCTCCATTGTTTAAGGCAATCTAGATTTTGAAATACTTGGCTAATGATTTTGCATGTGACTTATATGTTAAGTTACATTAGATTGGAATGTGAAAGTGGTTAGGTGAATTGTTATTATGGTATTAGGGTTCTAAATGTTGATTGTTGTTTTGCTTTTAACAATTTGTATGTGAATCATGTAAGATTAGATAAGTATTATAACTTATAAGTATGCATAGAATCCATCAGTAATTTCTGCATATTTTAACTATGCAGAAAATGGATTTTCCATGGGGGAAGGTATTTGCTAGGATTTTTAAGTATTCATACATTGCTATTTGACTAGGATAAACATGATTAGCTAGTCTAGTAGGGCCATATGCTCATAGGACCCGAGCTGACCCAACTGTTGGTTGACTTTTAACTCCAAAGTTTTTCTGTTTCAACTTAGGTTCTATGAAATTGACTCTCAAACTTTGAATCACAAACTGTAAAATGTTCTGCTATATAGAGAATTTTGTTAAGTCGATTTCCATCGGAGCTAGCAAGATATGTGGATCTGCAGCATGGTGTTGTTTCTGTTGTTCTCATGACTAATACCTATTCTATAACTTGTCTCATGCTAGAATTTTGAAGAATGTTAAATGATATTGTTGTTGCTCTATTGCTGGTCCTAACTCGTGTCGACGATTTGATATTGCGATAATGTTTTGAGTGAGATTTTGGGTACATTGTGTTTTGGTTCTGCTTTGCGTATTATCTTTGATATTGTTCGCATTGTTACAAATATCGTTTTTGTATGAGAGCGTTTTGCGTATTAATCTTGATTTGCTCACATTGTTACGAATTTGGTTTCTTATGTGAGCTTTGTGATGTTCTGCATGTTTGCTGTTAATATGTTCATGCTTTCTTTGGGTTGATAAATATTCTGTGATTGATTTTATGTTATATATAGATAAGTTTATTTGCAATTTGTGCAGTTAATTAAAGTTTAATTAAATGTATCAATATGTTACTACTAATACGTTGCTGCAGTTTTTTTTTCCATTCATAATAGTTTTTAATTTCGGATTGTGTAAGATAAGGATGTGATGCAAGGTGGTTGTTGTTGCTGTACATGCTCTTTTTTATTTATGCAGTCACATGTAAATATTTTTTCTTTTTTACTTTTTGAAAGTAACGTAGCATAAAGGGGGAACATATAATGGTTTCAATTGTTCTTTTGATATTTCTTTCTTTATGATTACCATATGTCAATCTTTAAGTGGAGTTGACTTTTCAAAATTAAAAAATCTCATGAAGAACACATTGCTTCATTTTTCTTTTCCACTTATTCCTGTTACATGTTACTGCAATACTTCATGTTTCTTTCTCTTGTCTATATGCTTTTAATTTCATTTAGTTTAATATATAATGTTATGTTTACTATTTAATATTTTATTATATCAAGTTTCTATGCTTCATGTTTCTTTCTCTTTTCTATATGCTATTGTTCAGGTAGTGTTCATTCTTTCCATGTTTCTTTTAATTTGTGTTGGTCTATAGATTGCAAATACTTTTTTCCTCCTCTTACTAGAAGTTTGAATTTATCTTCATTCTATTGTGCATATGCAGTATTTGGTTTCAACGTTGCTGTAGCTTTCCACTTTTATTTCCATTGCTCTCTTTTAGTTACAAGTGCAAGCTGCATATAAATTTGCACATAGCACTCAAATTCTCAGAAACCACCTTTATTGTATTAAACATATCAATTTTTACCATATATCATAATAAGAGTATTTATTTGGTCTATTATACACTATTTCCCTATAGTAATATATAATTTATTTTATTTTAGAAAACTAAACATGATAAAGAAGGATTGGGTGGAGTTGCCTCCACACAATCAAGATTATAAGGATGGTATCAATTACTTTTTGGATATCGCGTTTACTAAAGGAATGGTTGAAGAAGAAGAGATTTTGTGTCCTTGTGCTGTATGTTGTAATGATAGTTGGGAAGTAAGAGATGTAGTGTATGACCATTTATGTAGCAAAGGATTTGTAAAGGGATACACTGAATGGATTTATCATGGTGAAGATAAAAGCCTTATGGATCTTGATGACGATAGTGATAATGAAACATCATCTCATGATGATATCGATGGCTTGCTATTTGAGACATTTAAAGATGTGGCTGAAGGAGGTGGAGTACATGGAGGTCTAAATGAAGATGCAAAGAAATTTTATAAACTAGTTGATGATGCAAAGCAAGAGTTGTATCCAGGTTGTGAAAAGTTTTCCTCGTTATCATTCACTATTTGAATTTATTTGTTGAAATGTCTCCATGGATGGAGCAATGCATCGTTCACTGCTCTCTTAGAGTTGTTGAAAGAGGCTATGCCTGATTTGAACATCCCTGTTTCTTTCAATAAAACAAAATCTATGATTAAAGATTTGGGCTTAGACTATAAAAAGATTGATGCATGTCCCAACAATTGCATGTTATTTTGGAAAGATCATGGGAAAGATGATTCATGTCATATTTGTGGAGCATCAAGGTGGATTGAATATCCTGAGGTTGCTAATGATCTTGAAGAATCTATAAAAGCTCACAAGGTTTCTGCCAAAGTTCTAAGACATTTTCCTTTGATTCCAAGATTGAAAAGACTTTTTATGTGTTCAAAGACAGCCGACACATTGAGGTGGCATGCAGACCATCGTTCAAGGGATGGGAAGTTAAGGCATCCGGCTGATGCCCAAGCATGGAAAGACTTTGATGCCAAACATTCAGATTTTTCTCTTGAAACTCGTAACATTAGACTTGGGTTGGCAAGTGACGGGTTTAATCCATTTAGGACTATGAGTTTGTCACATAGCACATGGCCTGTTGTATTAACAATATATAACTATCCGCCAAATTTGTGCATGAAGGCTGAAAATTGTTTAATGTCGTTACTTATTCCTGGACCAAAGTCACCCGGAAATGAAATTGATGTGTATTTGCAGCCACTTATTGAGGAGCTTAAGATATTGTGGGATGTCGGTGTAGAGACATATGATATATCAAAAAATCAATAATTTCAAATGCGTGTAGCTCTTATGTGGACTGTGAATGACTTCCCTGCATATGCTATGTTATCCGGTTGGAGCACTAAAGGGAAGTTTGCTTGCCCTGCTTGTAATCATAAAACTTCTTCAATATACTTAAAACATAGTCGAAAGATGTGTTATATGGGTCATCGAGTCTTTTTGGATTCAAATCATAGCTGGAGATCAAATTCAAGTTCTTTTGATGGAAAGCCAGAATACAGGTCTGCACCCTCCTTGTTAGATTCAACAATGATTTTAAAAGACTTAGAAAAGATCCCTGATGTAGTGGGGCAAAAATACCAGAAAAAAAGGCCTGGTCCATGGAAGAAAAAGTCTATATTTTGGCAATTACCATATTGGAAGGATAATTCTTTGCGACATAACGTAGATGTTATGCATGCAGAAAAAAACATTTGTGATAATATAATGGGGACTCTCTTGGAGATTGAAGGGAAGAAAAAGGATCATGCAAAAGCTCGTTTAGACCTACAACACATGGGGATTAGAAAAAAACTCCATTTGAAGGCAACGAGTGATGGTAAGAAAACCCAAATCCCTAAGGCATGTTTCTCCTAACAAAGCAAGAGAAATCTATTTTTTGTAATGTTTTAAAGACAGTAAAACTTCCTGATGGCCTTGCATCTAATATTTCTCGATGTGTTCAAGTTAATGAAGGAAAAGTTTCTGGATACAAGAGTCATGATGCTCATATTATATTGCATTACTTGTTGCAAGTAGCAATAAAAGGGATAGCCCCTAATCAAGTTGTTATCCCTTTGCTCCGACTTTGTTCATTTTTTCGGTGTTTATGCCAGAAGGTTATAGATGTGAAAACTTTGGATTACTTGGAAGTTGAAATTGCTGAAACACTTTGCCAATTCGAGCGTATCTTCCCTCCAAGTTTCTTTGACATAATGGTTCACTTGCCAATTCACCTTGCAAATGAAGTCAGATTAGGTGGACCGGTTCAATTTCGATGGATGTATTATATGGAAAGATATTTGGGTGATTTAAAATCTTTTGTTCGTAATAGGATTCGTCTAGAGGGTTCTATCGCTGAAGCATACTTGGTTAAAGAATCTCTAACATTTTGTTCAAGATATTTGTCTAGTGCTGTAGACACAAGGATGAATAGAATGACACGAAATAGCGATGATACTCCAAGCATAGTGTCATACCCCAAATTTGTCCTACCTTTTCGAAAATTTTCATTTTTGCCCGACTTTATTTTTCAATTCGTATCGCTTTTACGACGTAACGTATTTTTCGGCAAAAATAAATTCTTTCACCTTTTTAGCCCAATAAATCTGCACCACATGGCATCTTTTTATTTGTTTTTTATATATATTTTATTTTAAGATAATGTTTTTTAATTAGATTAGATTTTTATTTCAAATTTAGAATTTAAATTATATTTAGATTAGTTTTTTATTTTATTTTTTTAATTTTTAAAGAGATTATTAATTAATTAGATTAGAAGTGTTTAAGATAAAATTAAAGTAAGACTAGAATTAATTAGTTAGATTAATTAGTTAGAATTATTAATTAATTAAAACAGAAAAAAAACAAATTGATAGAAAATGAATTGAATGAGCAGGACACGGTGGTAATTTGGTTTAGGGTTGGTTTTCTTTGGATAAATAGGGTACCCTACACTGTTCACAGGATCCCTAAGGGTGGAGGGTAACCCTAGCCGTCAGCCCCAATGACCAAACCCTAGGAGCCGCCGGGAAATTCTCTTCATCATCTTCTCCGTTTCGATTCCCACCATCTTCGAACCCTCTTTCCATCATCCTCTTCTTCTTCTTCAAAATTTCGCCCAGACCACATTTCTCTTCATCTTCCCAACATGAACCCTTCTCTTCTTCTTCACTCAAATCCGACCCCCTAATGTCTGTCTCCATCAAATCGCGCCCAGTCTCCTTATCACAAATCTGAGAAACTCTAACTCCGTTTTTCTCACAAATCACCACCGCCACCCTAAACTCTTCCTTCTTTTGCTCTCACGACCACCAAAGCCTTGTAAACCCAAAAACAACCTTCAAATCGCCTTTGTGACCATTTCCCTAAATCACTATCTCCATCATTGTTTTCAGCTTCAAAGTGCGCTAACCAAAGAACTGAGTCGTTCCAAGGGAAAGACGAAGAGAAATTCCTGAGGTTTTATGCGAACATTAATAACCATTTGAAGCAGGGATCGAAGGAAATTTCGTTGTTCAACCTGTAACACTTTCACCACTCAATAAACATTTGAAACCATTCACAATTCAGGTTTTACGTCTTCTTCATTACCGACCACCATCTACCAATCGTCGACCACTGAGGCAATCCTCTTTACAAGATTCAAAATCCACCACGCCATGGGTTTCTTCGACGGTCACAACAACAACCTTGCAGCAATCGTCGAGTTTCATATTCGACAACTATACAAACACTTCATGACCAGCATTATTTAAGAACGCCACAAGACAGATTTGTTACCACATAGCATTTATGCTGTGCAGGTCTCACCGTCAATAGTGTTGAACCGTGATAACATTTTAGCTCTCACCGTAAAATTTCCGGTGAGCTCCCCTGTTTCGAATACGCAGCACGGCGAGTTACAACGACAACATTGAAGCATTTGAAAGGCAAGTGCAGTAGCTGCTCTTATCATCAACGCGTGATTTCGAATTTGACTCCGCGATAACACTCGCAACATCATTTCGAAGGCTTTCTGTTTGGTTCTTATTTTGTAGAAGGAAGCCGATATTGGGTGTTGTGATATATTCATATCCTGATTAAATATAACTTAGGAGGAAGACACAACAAAGTTCAAGATTACCATGGCCGCAAGTTGAAGCCAAAATTTCCATGCAACGATAACGTTGAAACAACACGGGTGACAAGGCCAGTGCGAGCAGCGAACAAATGCCGCAGGAGATTGAAATATTGGTGTTGATGTGTTTGTGTAGTTGTTGCAATTTTGTGCATAATTTATGGAATGACTTGTGTTGAAATGACGATTGTTGAAGTTGTAAGAACAAGGAGGGTACTTTTGGCTTTCAAAAAAAGTCCTCTTCTGTTATAATCAACGAGTTGGGTCTTCAAGACCTTGACTTACGGGGGCGCAGGACATCATTAGTAACTCCAAGTTGGGCCCTAATGACTGCATCTTATTGTTCAATAAGGCCTTGGATTATTCAATGCAGGAGATTGTTGCTGCTTTCACGATGGATGCTAGTTGATGATTTGAAGACACCGTGAAGATAATGGATTGAGGAACGAGTCAGAATCACCACCTAGTTACCACGTCCAAAAAGTCCAGTTCTTACCATGACCGTGTCGTGTTTGGCTTTAGGAATGAAGTGAAAACTCTAATTCTCATTGAATTTAGCTCATTTGTTACTGGTACTTCATAAAGGGTATTGAGGTAACACTTTATTTTCGATTGTACACTCTATTTGTTTGGTTTGATTCACGTCTCTACCTTGTTGAGTTGGTTTTTTTATTGGCATGTTAGCTGTGTGAACCGTGTAAATATTTTCCTAATGTCGTCACTGGACAGAAAACGTGTTTAGATGCTCATGATATTTTTATCTCACACTTTTGTGCTTTGTGAACTATTCTGAAGGTTGAATGCCTTTAAAGCAAACTCAAATTAAAGTGGATTATTCTAACAATGTATGGACTGTTTGGTGTGAGTCTGAAATTCAAGCTGAGGTGCCATATAATGTTGACTCGATTGCTCCCTGCTATATAAGTCTTAATTCTAGTAATTAATTTTACAAGGTCACAAGCTACTGTCGTGTTTGCTGGATTGTTGCCGAGCTGTTGTGGCATTAGCACTGCATATGTTTTCTATTTCTGTTTGGGCTGTTGGTTTCTATGTAGGTTGCGACATCGCCAAGTTTCGGTTACACAACGACAAGTTCTGCTACCTTCTGCTCCCAACGTAAAATTACAATAGCAATTTTGCAGCATCACTCTTTAGCAACGTCAACTCGCAGCAAACTCCTCAACTCTGTAACAATAACTCAGAGGACAACGAAACCTCCACCGTCAGCTGAAACAACGTCGTCGACATAAACACTGTGTTATTGTAGCTGCTTCATTTTGCAGGTTCTGAAATAGATTCAAGAATTGAGTCGACCACGTCCAGGATTTAAAAGCAACCTCAACCACGCGATGCCACAAAGAGTCCCTGCTACCTTTGGTCCAGCACGGGAAGCAATTTACGACATCTCAGTAAC